AAGTTTGAATTAGTTCAACAAATCAGAGACTCGTAAACAGTGAGCTGGGCGTTCTCATACTTCTTGCATGAACTCATAATCCACTACAGCCTATTGCTACATTCTTCAGGGGTGAAGCTCAGATCAAAAAACTCTGTTTATAGGTTCTTCATAAAAGCAGACAACTACACCTGAATTGAAAATATTAAGGCACGTCGCGCTTGCCAATAGTGTGAGCGAAAACCATTCTTTTGATGAGTTCAACAGCGTAATCTCAGTATCGCCACTACTCGATCACTGTTCTGAGCTTTTGTAGATTCCCTTCGGTTCCAAATCTGAGTTCTCCACTCAAAATATCAGAGCCCAGAATTCCTTTCAATGTCGGGAACGGGCTGGACGGACGAATAACCTTATGTAGTTATACTACGGGTTGAGATAAGAATGCCACACTCCATAAGAAGAGCTCTGAGCTGTTCGATTTACGTCGATGAATTACGCCGACTATCATTAATCTTCATTAGCCACTTCATTTCTTTTATTACATTCATGGCGTGGACCATACCAGTAAAAGGAAGGGTCAAACAATAAAAATTTATATAACTAGAAGAGAAAAAGAAAAAACAAATGGAAAGAAAGGAGAGCAGACTTCCGTCGCAGAAAGAACGAACATAATTTTAGGGGTGGAAAATCGTAGAGATTCCACCAGCGATCACGGTTAGTGCCCACTAAAAGAGAATCCTCAAGGCTACCCTTCTGCATAGTAGAGCAGTCGCCCGCGAAACCGCCAGCTTCAGTCAGCAATGGTGCTCTTTCGCCACGTAGGGGGTCATAGGGGCTTGCCGAAACTCTGAAATACGGTTATACCGACCACCATCGTAGACTCGGCAAAGTGGGTGAGAACCACGGAGACGAATTACTTACACAACACGAGAGTGACCCACATTGATCCTCTCCACTATTGCTATTGTGCAATATTGCTAGTGCAGAACTAGCGGAATGCATCATCCACATGGTAATAACGCACTACACTGATTCGAGAAAAGCAAAGTACTCAATAGTCTCAGGACGAAATTGGAAGAAGGCGAAACCACTACAGGTGCTGCTATTAACTAATGATTTTTCTTGTGTTCTCGCATGATCTCTGACTCGTTCTCTGGTTTCTTTCTTGTTCTGCGTTGTGTTTAGTTCTGCGAGTGTTGCGTTGCCTTTTGCGTGTGGATTGATCGATACAGCGAGTACTTTCTTGGCAAGGTACGACATTGGAAGGCAACCACTACAGGTGCTGTTAATGATTATGATTTTTCTTGTATTCCTGCCGCATCTCTGAATCGCTTTCTGGGTTCTTTTTTTGCAATTTTGTCGTAGACGCAGCAGTGGGATTACCTATGCGAGCTGGCGAGCGCGAGACGGATAGCTGGATGGCTCTGCGTGGGAAAGTCGGTGTAATGACCAAATCCAGGCGGGTTGCGAATACCCTAAAGAGGGTCATATCAGCTATAATAACTCAGTTGAACTTGCTCTGCGCAGTGAATTTCAACCTTAAGCAGGAACTCAGAAGGCTTCGTGATAAAAGTAGTCTGGCTCCTGATGTAGGGATTGAGTCTGTTCATTTGAAATCTTGCCCTAGTCAAGGCATTCAGGATGTTCCTGTTAATGCAGCTGACTCTGATTGAAATATCGTACTCTGAAGGTAAAAGATTACTTTCGGTTGTTTTATGTGGTCTGCCTGAGTCTAGTTCTACTAGTGCCAGGAAGCCTGTAATATTATACAACTGATTTTCTTGGAGTTGAATGTAATCCGATAGCTGTGCAGAGAATGGGAAGACCTCCGAAAGATAAGTGTAGAGTAGTGAAGACAGTTTTGCCGTCACGCATGTTCCAACGATGCGCTGTATTAAGAGTTCCTCGCCTGCGCTTCTATCCTGTGGAAAGGATTTTCCTTCGGGAATCTCTCACTAGAGAGGAGAGGGCGAGGAGTCGGGAGCTCCAATGGAGTGCCAACGAAGAGATGCCGCAGACTTCCTTTTAGTAGTGGCTTTTGCTCTGGAGAGTAGTGGGGCTACTCCTCCCAATGCTCCCATTTTGAATTTGTTAACCAGGAAGACCGCACTTCCCGCGGTTTTGTAGAGGCTTTCCTGATTTTTCTCACTCGAATGTCAGGTCAATCTCAAAAAACTCAGGCTACATTGATACAAACCTAACCAATAAGTCAGCGGTACTTATCTTTTCTGTAGATTATTCGAAAAAAAAAGCCTCAAGGAGCATGTTCTCCGACACGTTTTTGATTGTAAGATTATTCCGAAACATCAACACGGCTTTGTCCCAGGGCGATCCATCTAAACTAACATGGTTGTTTCCGGGACTGGACTTATGCTCTTGATGGCAATGGCTAGTGCGATTTCATTCACTTCGATTTTGCGGAAGCCTCGATAGAGTGTCTCATAAGTGGTTGATCCATAAGTTACAAGTGTTGAGATATCATCCCGTTCTCATTGAGTGAATCTTTCATAATTTTCCATGTTGAAATAGGACAAGATTTCTCGAACAGTAGGGAATTTGTGAGTGGACTGCCGCAAAGGGGTGTGCTTTCTCAATGCTCTTCAACATCTTCACGGCCAATATCTCAAGTAGGTTGAGCGAGTTAGATGTTGTCACAAAAATGTATGCGGATGATACAAAAAAAATGTACAAAGCTTTTTCGGAAGATGCGGATCCTCTTCAGAAAGCGATTGATTTGTTAGCTGACTGGTCCGAGCAGTGGCAATTGCCAGTGGCCCCTCACAAAACAATGCGCATTCGGATTGGTCTAGATTCGGAGCTCAGCCCTTCTTCATATGTGGTTGGTGGTGTCGCTGTTACTTCTGTGAAATCGGTGCGAGATTTAGGCTTCCACTACACCAATATCCTGGACTTCTCCAATCACACCAGGAACCAATGCAAATTAGCTCTGATGCGTACAGTCCAAATTTTCAAGGGTCTCTCTACCATTAATACCAAGGTTCTTCTCCAAGCATACAAAACATATGTGCGCCCGTTAGTTGAATCTGGAGCCATGGTGCTCAGTTCAGCAAAGAAAAAGGATGTAGTTCATTGAAGAAGGTCCAAAATAATTACACATGCAAAATTCTTGTTCTGGGAGTTTCCTTTACTCCAGAGTTCCGAAAGCACACTGCAGAAACAGATTCTTCGGCCTAGCAATACGTATCATGTTTTGTAAGTCCTTAAACCAATCTGCGTGGATGGGTCCACTTGACTATTTTAAAGTCACACTATCACGTATTAGAGGTGGACAAGCCAAAATACACTAAGCTTATCTAAGGACCAACGTGAAAGCCAGAAGTTTTCCGTTCTAAGCCGCAAACACCTATGAGATGTTGACGAAAAGCACTGTTCTACCCGGTATGCTGAAGCAGTTTAGAAGGCAGATAGCTGCCACGCTATTAAGCTATGTAACCTCGTAGTCGTTCGAGATTCTTCATTTTTATAAGGCGCTTACTCGTTAACTTCCTTTGTTTCCGGATATTTCGTTCGGTAATGGTGTTTTAACAAAATCGAGGGTATTGTATTTGTTGAATTGTTTCTGTTGAAATGCTTTTAGTTTAGTTCTCTTATGTCCACCTCACGCGCCGTAATAAACATATTATATATTAGTCACACGGGGTACAAGGGAGACCAACTGGGAAAAGATAATATGTTACAAACCATTAAATGAAACAATTACAGCACAGTTAAAAGAGAGTCGCTCTCCCAAAATTGTCCCGCGGGTGAAAAGGCTATGCAAACTGAGTAAAGGAAAAGAAGATCGTCGCAACGGAAGTAGAACGTACGTGTTGAGTTCACATCCTTGCTGGCCAACATGCGGAAATGGAAAGTATCCAACAGCACACCTTGTGCGACCTACATTCCTTGCGCAAAATTTCCAAGGCATTCTTGCCCCCATAATAAAAATCTGTAATTTTGAGAGTAACTAGCAGATCAACCTTTTCAACCTATCCCGAAAAGCGGGCACTGAAGTGAAATATTTTCGACGGAAGCATTTCCATCCATCTAGCGCAGCGGAAAAAGAGTGAATCCGAGACAAGGAAGTGATGCCTTTTTTCACAGGCACGCATTGCAGCCCAAGAGAATTCGTTCGCCCATGGCAAGGTCGAAATATCCAATACTTACTGGCTCCTAGCTTTGTTTCATTTTAGAGGATCTTGAAGCAAAACATGTCATCGAATACTCTCCGGTGAAGCAAACCTTCCATATTCAGTAGCTGTGATCTCTGATAACTAGGCAAAGAATCACGGTAGACTAGACTCAAAAAACATCTGCCTATTACCATTCTTGTAAAGGGGTTTTGAACTTTCTCAAGTTTGACTTGTAACTTCTTTGTAAATGAACTTCATATTTGGGACCCATATTCAAGTGTAGGGATTATATATGTCTTATAGAGTCTGAGATAAACAAAGACATCGTTACTATGTGTAATTCTGAAGATGACAAAAAGCGTAGTAAAGACTTTCTTGTCTATTGTGCGTGTGCGTCAAACTTCAAGTCTCTCTAAACATAGATTCCGAGATCACGTACCACCTCCAGTGTACAAAGAATATTGGTACTGAAAATGTATTCTATACAATGAGAGTAGCTTATGTGCATAACTGAGGTCTTAGCAAGGTTAAGTATTCCGTTGACCGACGCCCAGTCCATCATCCGTGATAAAGATAAAATAAGAGCATGGTGTACTTCAAGTTTATTGCTATCATCATGCACGCCATAGATCTTCATGTCATCGGCATACATTTGAATCTTTCGTAGCGTTCGCACTTTTTTTTTGAATACTTTAAATATAATTCCACAAAAGAACACTATGTTCTTCTACAGGTGTGAGAAGATCGGCTAGTTAAAGGTTCCCAACACCTGTCAGTTAACCTACCGTTATATCGGTCAAAGCGATGTCTGGGCTAAAGACTAACTATCCCGCCTAGGCAATTCAGTGACGACATCTCATTAACAGAAAGGCTAGCGACGGGAAAAGATTAAAGAAGTAGGCTTATTCGTAAAAAATGTCCCCAAACATACGTGACATACTGAGATGTTCTGAAAATAATTGATCATTGAACTAAATACTTTTAAGATATAATTCACTTCAACACTGCACAGCATCAATAATCTACTTGCGCGCTGTAGGTCATCAGAGACTAGTCGCCTAGGACTGAACAAAAAGTTTACTCATAGTGGGTACGTGTTGAAAAATAACAGCGCAGCCGTTTTTGAGTTTCCTCTGTTAGACTTGTTTGTAGCCTGCAAAAAGCAAACATGGAAGTGCTTCTTCAGAGGAAATATAGCAATGGAACTTTAAACTTCAATGCTTTCAGGGAACAGGCGTTTAGTAATCTTCCGCTAGCAGCTGATAAAAACACATTTGAAATATGTCAAGTTTTCCAGTAGTCCCTTATCTGAATGTGCTTTGAACTGTAATAGTTTTCACTAGTGCACAGACATTAACAAGAGCTCTTATCAACGCTGAAGGCATCTAAAGCGCCCGATGTTAGCATACAAAGCGCAAAACAACATGAAGAATTTTCACCCGCTTGCAGAAACTGAGGCTGACCTTATTTCTGCGAAAACCGATTTAATGCTAGAGATATCTGCGAGTATTTGATCATGAAAACCACCTCCACCAAAGTAGCAGAGCTTTTGAATGAGTTGTGCCACTATTCGATCCCTAAATAACAGGCAGCGCTTGAAGGTTACAATAGGGAAGACAGAAACACAAGAAACTCACTGCTTTTCATCCGGCCCAAGGGTGAGCAGTGCCTGGTACCAATATTCGCGGGCCTGTTCTTCGTATTCGGCACGAGGAATTGGCGTTACTCGCTTACGGCTGAGATGTCTACAACCGCTCTGTAACTGGTCGCATACGAGTCACTTAGAAACGCGAATTTTGACTGCACAATTTACCCTGTATAGCAGTCTTGCTAACATTCCTCTAACATGAGTAGACGGTCCAACATTGTGAGGCACTGTGAATTTTATGATGAAGTCGAGCATATCTCTTCTAAAAGTACGTACCGGTCATTTGGCTCCTTCACAGAACGTCGTCACCGTTGGCCTACTACAATCTCTGCGAGTTTCTTCGATATTGGACTACAAAGTTCTGAACCTCCTTGAGAACGACCTTCTGATTTGTTTTTCTTCATAAGTTTCTCTTGATCAATGCAGCTAAAGATGCTAGTCCCAAACACAATGTTCATGACTCACAGAAGCCAGTAATAAATTGGAAGATATTCGCAATTCATTATAAGTTGAACTTAAGCACACCGATTTGAGAGATTTGTACTTTTCCTTTTTCCTTTTACTAGCTTCAGGCATATTTGCCGTGACATCCTCTGACCTGGACACATTCGTCAAAAGACGCAGCCATTTGCGATAATCTAGAAACGTAGGGAAACGTTTAACCCCGACTGTTTCCTTTTTGTCGAGCGACCCACTGACACTTTAGAGGCAGTACAGGTCCATGACCAAATAGCTATACGGTCCGGGAATACGGAGAGTAGAGAAGAGAATCCTCCTGCATATCCACAGTTGTCAGAAAACTGTACATCATCTCTCGAAAATTGATTAAATTGGAGGCATCAGTAGAAGAAAATACCAATTGTGCCCACTCCTCACGGCACTCCTGACATGGCTTATGCTGCCATAAACCCAATTTGTGCGAATCTTTTCGGCCAAAGTAGTTAAGTTTTCGGGGATTATTAAACCAGCAAAACTAGCTATGGTTGCCGTCAAGCTTCCTTTGAGATGATGATTGAATTCTCAGAAAGTTTTCTCGGAAGAACCCTGAGTCCATATGATCCTTCTACTTTTTCAATTGCCGAGGATATACATTGAGTATTGGGGCAAAATTGAAGTAAGATAGAGCCTTTAGTTCAAACTTTTCTTTTGACGCTCATTCCTAACTGAACTTATCCGCTTGGTGATTGATCACCAATAACGAGAAAACTTGAAGGGTGGTTATAGTGATGTCTAGCAGAAATGCATTAGGTATCAAAATGTATGTATGTGTTCCAGTTGAAGACACTTTTGAAGATAAAGCATTTGGGAATCTCCTATTATCCTATTGGAATGGGATTTTGTATGTGAGGGAAGACTTCCCATTCTATCACACACTGTTAAGGTCGCTTGATCAACTACTTGCTCTCTGCAACAATGTCCAACATTTGATACACTGGGCGTTCTATTTAAATCTCGTACTATGTAATGGAGAAGGTGGTCTAATCCTTCGCGCTCACCATGCCCTGTTGACAGTGATTTAGAAATTGTGTGAGAGAGAAATTGATTGGATATCTCTCATTTCTTCATGGAAAATTGGAACTGAAGTGTTCTGGTAACCTATAAAAAACCACTCATACAATCTGGTGGAGGGACTTGGACGCCTTTTACCGCTTCTAGCGTGTCGTCGCGACTATTTATAGGTGCTCACATTACTGAATGTTCTATGATTTCAATGAGCACCGAATGCTCTGATATGACCTCAACAAGTCGAGCTTTTCAGTAGATAAAGAAAGAAGTGTGCGGCTACAGATAACATGAAAATCTATTATACCAGTATCCAGAAGTTCCCCTTCCTTCAGCTGGTTCAAAAGGATAACGAGGATGTTTTACCTCTCTTTACAGCTTCGAAGAAATTTGCTGCTCTTCCTGAAATGTCCTCTTCGTGCTGCTGCGCATTCTTTGACATCTTCATTCATGAATTAATACTGAAGACCGATTCTGTGTGTGTACAAGTTCACCTCGATTACGTATATCTATCTTAATGGCATTAATGCTAGCTGCCACAATAGAAAACCTATAATAATTACCCACCGACATGAAAAAACCGTATCTGCGCGTTCTATGATTAGCTTTGCATTCACCTTGCTCACAACAAAGTTCAAACCAGCTCGTCGAGTCCACAAAACTCCACGAAAATTCAAAGAAACAAGCTGGTTTGAAGTCCCCGTTTCATCAAAGCTCAAATCACGTTAGCAGGCCGCCTTTCATTGAAGCCACCCAAGGGCAATTACCCGTTATCGGTGACCTATACAATTTCTATTTCATTTAAGACAGGCCATGGAGAACCCCTTCAGGCTTCCTCAGATTACGCTAATAATTCACTATCAATTTTGTTTGGGACATTTCGAGCTTTTCGAGTGTGATTGAAAAATAATAAAAATGAACCGATATAGATATACATATATCGGAAAGAAACGCGCGTTTGATTTCGGAAAAATTTTATTATGAAAACGGGATTGAACAAGATTAACTCGGAAGATAATCTTTATTCTGACAGTGACTTGTTGCCAACGCTTATGCAGAGAAGGGGTTCCTTCTTTGCGGTTTCTGAAGTTTCACTCGGCCAGGGAGTGCTGCATCGACTGGAGCAGATGGTAACCGGATGGTGCCAAGTCTGGGCTGTACGGCGGATGAGGCAGGACTCCCCAACCCAATTCCTCGTTGTATGCTAAAGTGATTTTCGCGACATGTGGAGGAGCGTTGTCGTGGAGGAATTTTGACGACGTCGTTTTGACACCTTTACGACGCAGTGCTTGATCCACGCTGCTAAAATGATCTTTGTAGATGTCCGCCGTAACTGTTTGAGCCGAATCCAGAACTTCGACGTACACCAAACCTTTGCTGTTTCACCAAACACAGAGCATCACCTTTTTGCCGTGTATACCGGCTCTGGAGTAGGTTTTGGAGTGCCACCGGCGTCTATCCACTGTTTTTTCGCGTTGCGTTGTCGAAACGAATCCGTTGTCGAAGGAGAGAAATGGATGAACAAATTCACGAGCACTCCTTCACGAACAACTTAATATATCCTGCTGAAACCGAGAACGTCCGTTCTACGCGTCCGTCGAAGTTAGGTTGCTTGGCCTACTTCTCTATTTTACTGTCTAAGTTCAAGTTACTTGTGCATTCAAAGGAAAAACGCGAATCCCCCGAGTGACATTCACGAAATCAAGCGAAATTGAGCATTCCATCAAGATGTTCCTTGAAGATCTCTTTACATACTTCTTAGATTCGAGGAAAACAGTTGATAAGTCCGTGGCTCCAGTTTCGTATCCGCTGCCTTTCATTTCTTTCATCCTGAATGATCACATGGTCGAGACTCTTGGAACAATTATTTAATTTATTCAAAAAACTTCAACGAAATTGTTGGTTGGACAGCGATTTCATCACCGGTCCCTTCTCTTCTTCCTATGAATTCGACAATTGCCAACCGATTGCATCATGTTTCGAAATTCCATTTGTATGTTTCAATCGTAATACTACTCAACTGTGAACAACTCGTACATTATTCAAATTACTGAAATCAATTTATATACTATCCTTCACATCGAGGCTGATAAATCCGCCCACGTCCGACTGTAGGTGTCAACCACTGATTTGAGTGGACCCCGTAGCGACTCGGAAAGTTCACAGACTGAAATTTGCCTTCCGTTCAACTCCACAACGATCGACAAGGAGCGATCGGTGATGGCCAGAGGAGTCTATAATGGTAAAAGTGGGATGGTAATGAGAAATTTCAAGATTCTTACTAGGTAGAATGTGAACACAGCTTCGAGCAAGAGAATGATGAGTGGTTGCATTTCCCAGCAGCAAATACTAGAAAGTGCGAAAAGGAAATAAGTGGCATGCGACATATGTACGAATCGTGGCGGCCAGTCGGAGTACAACTCAGTGTTTTCATCCCCACAGACAGATCTGGTATAAACGAACTGATCCGGAGAAAGCTTTATTCGCTAATGGTACTACCTGTACCATCTGTCGTCCCGTTGATCATCATCATTCTCATAGTCATCATCACTATCATCATCACCATTATCATCATCATTATCATAGTCATCATTTTCATCATCATCATCATCATCATTCCTTTACTTCTACTTCTACTTCTACTTTTACTTTTGCTTTGACTTTTACTTTTGCTTTTACTTTTACTTTTACTTTTACTTTTACTTTTACCTTTACTTTTACTTTTACTTTTACTTTTACTTTTACTTTTACTTTTACTTCTACTTCTACTTCTATTTCTACTTCTACTTCTACTTCACTCCTACTTCCACTTTTATTTTTATTTTTACTTTTACTTTTAATTTTATTTCCACTTTTACTTTTACTTTTACACGTTGCACGTTACACGTTGCCTAGAATGAGCATCGTGAATAGCATATTTTCCAAAGCCATCTATGCGGAGATGCGCGGAGACAAGCAATGCTTCTGACTTCTATTTGTGATAGGCTCTATCTCTATCACTCCTGAGGCACGATGTTCAAACGATCAGTTCCATAACGTTTCCTGCAATCTCTCAAATTTTAATAGTTTCAAGGTTCATTCTATTAGGTTGTAAGGAAAGTCCTGCAACATAAAATTTGTAGCGTCAGCAATTTGTATCAACAGGGTGAACACGGTAGCAAGAGTGATAAACTTGTAGGACATTCCTCAGGTCATCAACACATGAGTAAATAAAGGCACACGTGTGGGCTTCAGCAGCTCTACGGTCAATGAATGGACAACACCCGATTGGTGCCATCACCTTCTACTAAGCACGCCAAGGGAAAAACGCGGGTGTAGCGGCTCAAATTATCAGCAACCTATTCAATGCTGGCGCTGCTCACCGATCAACGGTCAACAATCGGTCGGATCGCTTCACTGGAAGGGATACTGGCCTTTGAAGCCATGCATGCATCATTCCTTGATTCAATGGAGGTTGGAGGGATCCATCCACTATGAGTTGCTAAACGCAGACTAGATGGACACAGCTATCAGTTACCCCTGTGATCCCCGAAATTTGGCCAACAGGGTTGGAGAAGGACTATCGGAACCGTAAATCAGGCCCCTACAGAGGGACAGTCATAGGTGTTGCCCCTTTTACCTACCATGCGCTCCGCCTTCTTGAGCATACCGTTGTGGAAAAAATCGTAACTTTATGTGATCTGAAGACGGCAGTCAATTACTTTTTTGAGTCACAGCTTCCTCACTCCTGGATGAAAGGCATCAGTGATTTACTCAAAGGATAATAGAAGGTTGCTGACCCCATTGGTAAATATACTTCCAAAAATTGATTGGCCTGGAGAATTTCAGAAATGATTTGAAAAAGACCTTCATTTTGTTGCAGGACTTTCCTTCCTACCTAATGGCAATAGTATACCTTATGTTCGTTTCACTTTAAGTAATTTGCGCTCAAGAGAGTTGCTCTTCCAAGCGACGCGTTATGATTCTACCAAACAGTGATTATACTTAAAACTTTTTTTGAACCTCAGCAAGTTGTAATTTATGAAATTTTGAATTGCAGTTCGAGCAGGTAGTGCTATAATTAGAAAGACCAATTCAGAGTACTGTACAAGTTCTCGTCGGCTGCAGTGTGTTCACCTGTTACAACAGAAGGCATTCACTCTAAAGCCGTTTCCGACCGCTCCTGACTGCATTGCTGTCTGCCATCCTAGTATATCGATTACATTCACGAGGGAATGCTGCGTTGCTTTGAGGAACTCACCTACTCACCGGAGTGTGTTTTGTTTGTTCATCATTGCACCTGAATGACGTGGCAACCGAGACAGATGACAGTGCGAATGCTAAATAGGAAAAAAGGCTCAAAAATACATTGTTGGAAACTCTTACGTGTTGTGGACTTGCAAACCGGCACTCACTGGTTACACAGTGAAGTTTTGACTTGGTGTTTTTTGAATGCTTCCGCCAAAGTACGCAACCCGAAAATCTCTTCGATACAGTGAAGCATTACTGATATGGCACAAAGCAAGAGAGAAAAAAGGGCTGTTACTCACCCCTATGTGATTGTTTAGATGCAACATCAAAAAATGAATCCGATTCCTCGGATACAAGATCAGGGAGTGAAGATGGATATAGTTCTAAAGTTCAATTTTGAGAAACTGAAGATTGTCTTAAAACCACATTCCAAGTAGAAGAAATCCTCCGAGCAAACTATCAGCTATTCTAGAAGTGACAAAACAAGAACAGCAGATATGCTCGAGCAGGGTTGACTTTTGATCATTAAACACGGCGAAATATCTATTCTCAGATGTTCGCAGAGTCACCAAATGATTTGCTATTATCGGATCACTAGGATGTGCTTTACCAGATCCCGTAGACGACTCCGAACGAGTGAGCCTAGCATGTGTTGGTTGACAGACAGGAGGGTCGCTTTTCAAAAGTAGACTTCGCTTAAAGAAACAGAAGAAGAAGCTTGACGAACTCGTAATAGAATAGTGTGCAATACTGAGCAACGCTCACGAATGATAGACACTCCTGCGAGTCGCAACGAATTGATTCATGTTTCCCATTTGAGCTGAATGGTTCTCGAACTGATAGGCGGAGTGAGCATTCACTCCGCTCACTAATTTCGTGGAGATGAAGTGCATCGTGTGCTCGTTGCAATTTCACAGCAACATACTGGAAATGCCTCTACTGTTTCACGATTGTTAACATGTTCAGCTTATTTCCCGCCTTTATGTGAGTTCTGGAAGCCACGGTAACTGAATGAGATTGCTAACAGCACGTGCAGTTCGGTTTTTCATTCCAGTGTCCAGGTATCAAAAAAGCATGCGACGTATCAATGCAGTCAGAACTTCTGACAATCAATAGTAGAACAAGTGCGAATGAAAAGTCGAAATCAGCGTTGGCAGCGAAGCTCGGTGAATAGTAGCTTTAAAAACGCCTTTAAAACAATCTTATACATTTGCGAATTTTAGGGCCATGGATGATGCACAGCTGTGCTTAGTGGGAAGTGCTGCCTTTCTCGAAGTGAAAAATTTCTGAACATCGTTTTAGAATAAACCATCCATCCCTTGTAGATCTTCACATTTCACAAAGATGATGTACAACTTTATCAAGGTCTTATATGCAAGTTGAAAATACAGACCATGAAAATTCATAGGTATTTGGTCTAGGCAAAATAATGGAATATGTGCTGTAAAATCGTGCAAAAGAAAAAGAGGCGCAGAAAATGCAAAAATTTTCGGTTTTCAAAAAATAAGGCACAAGAATGAAGAAAAAAGGGTGTTGTACGCGAAAGATGCGACGAAGGAGGGGCATTTGGACGAGTGGCCCCTTGAAAAAGAAAAAGAAGACGTGTAAGTGGAGGGTCCCGCTAAATGCCGTCGCCGTTTGGGGGTCTCTAACGTAAGCTCATTATTCGTCGGCGTCTTGAAGTTCTATTGTGAACGGTGAAGCCTAAGCAAAGAAGTCACAATACGGTCATTTTTGGGTGTTTACTTCGACCAAACCGGTTTTGGAGCTCTTATTACGCACTGTCTCGGTCGTTTTGCGGCCCGACAATGACCCATGTGCAAGCCTCAAGAGTCGCAGGTCCATAATAGAGCGGGGACCCTAAACCGTTTCTATCGCGACTGCGCCTTCGACGCAGGAACACATCTCCAACCTAATAAAACTTCCTCAAAATATTCCATGATAGTGAATAAGTGCAGCTCTTGCTTATGTACCGGCGTCATGGCTACATGGCTGTTTTACCGTTTTCTAGGGATGCAGTGAGTGACGGTGTGCTTCTAAGATTCTTATGCGAAGAAGAAATTAGGATTGAGGAAGTTCGGTTGGATAACCAGTAAGTGTGCACTGGCATTGCTTCATCATTGGACTGATCCTCCTTTTTCCTTCAATTAGCACAAG